TAGGTTAGCCAGATTGTAGATATAGAAAGCTTTAGCTAATAATATCTTGAGGATAAATTAGTTCTAAGAGTATAGGAAAAGCATCTGAGACTTCTTACTATAGATAATTGTGACAGAGATATACTAGTGATACAAGCTAAGTGTATTTGTAATATAATGTATAGGAGTTCTATAAGTAAGCTCTTTACCTATATACTTGAATAAAAATCTTAGTCCCAAAGAGGCTAGTTATAAAACTTAAAAAAAAAAAAGCAAAATCTTTAGAGATTATATTATTTTAAAAAATATACTTTCTTATATAGTTAAATTTGTTAATCATGCCTCAAATTTGCTAGAATTATACAAAAAAAATCATGATAAAACTATTTTTAAAACAAATAATTATCTAATTAAATTTAAGTTTACTATATAATCTGTTATACAAAAAATTTGCTATGTATATTATATAATAAATAAACTAAATATACTCTACCTTAATTAAGCAACCAACTCTTCTTTTAATCTTTTATATACAAAAATACAAAAACAAAATAGTAATAAAAATATATAAATGCTAATAAGAAACAAAACTTGCAGCTCTAAAAAAAAAAGACCAAAAACAACATTCAGTTTTTTAAAAAACTAGGATAATAGAGAAAAAGTAATAGAGATATAGAAAAAACAGAAAATTATTAATAATTTTTGCTTTTTGTAAATTATTTGAGAGCTCTTATTTTATAATACAGATTAGTTTTTGTTATACAAAATATACAACATATAATAAAAAATAAACAAAAAAAAAAGAATTTTTAAATATATAGGCAACTCTATGAAACTATATCTATGTCCTTAATAAAATTATAAAAAAAGTTGATTCATCTTTATATAATATAAGGTAGATATGCCTAATTCGGTACAGTTAAAGTTGCTAATAATAAAATTTTATAAATTGCTAAAAAAAATCTAAATTTTTACTTAATACGTTATATTATATTCTAAAATAAACTTTCATATAAAAAAAAAATTCTAAACCCAAAAAAAACCTTATTCTATTTAAGAATCCTTTTAAAACTCCTGATAATTAAGAGATCATCCCAAATAGACGCATTTGAGTAATTTTAAATTTTCCTTGCTTAGATTGTTTAGTACTTTTAAGACGCTGCTTTTTCTTACTCATACTTTCTTTTTCAAGCCTTTTTTGTCATCGTGCATCTTGTTTTTGTGCCTTTTCTACTTCATGAGCTATTTTTTTTTGAGCAGCAACCTCCTTTTTATATTGCTTTTCTTAGATTTTTTTCTGCTGCTTCCTTCACTTCTCTCAACTGTTGTAAGGACTTTTCATTTGTGAAAAGCTAAGAGAAAGACATGGTTTTTCTTTTTTTCCTTTTAAACGGCTGGGATTCACTTTGCTCTTCAACTCTTAGATCTTTAGAAATATGATACAGATGATACTTAAATATTAGATACAAAGGGCTGATACTCAGATTTTTTAAGGTTTCAATTCTTTTTGTAAGTGCTTAACTTTTTATTTAGAAGCTTAATTTTTGATATCAACTCTTTCTTTGTAGGGTTTGTCTTAATAAAACATAAATAACCTGAAGCTGACTTTGAAGAAGGTGAGAATGAAAAAGTTGAAGATGAAGAAGGCAAAGAGATAGAAAAAAGCAAAAACAAAGAAGAAGGCGATAATGATAATAAAGACGAAGAAGGTGATAAAGATGAAGGTGGTGTGGATAAAGGTGGTGTGAACAAAGATGATGATGAAAATAAAAAAGCTGGTTGTTCAGGAATTTGTAAGATACCAGTTTGCTTCATAACTAGCAAAGGATCAAGACGATCTGGGCTAATAGCATTAAGATTGAATGGCCATATACTAGTAGCTTTAAAAGCATTACATATTGTGATAGGTGTGTAAGTTGTAATGTAGGCTGGTTCTAAAACTTTAGTGAACATATATTTGGTTACAAGTTTTCCATTATTTTTCATCTAAAACTTATCACATTCTTTACTATACAATTTTTTTAGTGAGCAAATGGTAATTTGGCTGGTTGTAAAATATGAGTTGTATGAGGGGAAGAGTATAATGAAGTATGTTGTTTTATAATAAAAGTCGACACTAATATAATTAATATGGCTCTTGTAGCCATCTAAAATTAATAAAATAGGACATGTGGACGAAATAGAGCTAATAAAATAATTAATATATTTTTGAAATAGACACTTCTACATGTATTCCATTTCAGTAAATCTCATAACAGAGCTGGTAGGAGCACTATTTAAAAGACCCAGGATCATTCTTATTTCTTTAAAAATTAACAATGGTGAGATTTATGTCTCAGCAGCCAAGATCGTTAAACATACAGAAATATGTTTATAGGAGCTTCCATATGAAACTTGATAGACTTGATGTGTTTCCTTCTTGGCTAAAACTTTTTAAAGACTAGATTCAATGACAAATCCCATCTCATCTTTAACAAAAAAAAAAGAATTAAAAAAAATAAAAATAAAAAAAAAGAAAAATTAAAAAAAAAAATTTAAAAAAAAAAAAAACCGAAAAAAAAAAGAATCAAAAAAAATAAAGGTAAAAAAAAAAGCACTATATTTCAAATTCGGTTGAGAGTAAGAAATATTCCTGAATAATTTTTTTCAAGCTTGACAAAATGATCATTAATAATAATAGAATTGGCTTTTTATGCGCAAGCTTTATTTAGAGCTTGTAAAATATGGAATGAAAGCTCTAAGTGATCTTTCATAAAACGCATCTACTATTTTTGTCTTAGACTATTTTCACTAAAAGGATTGAGCCACCTGCTCTGATGAACAATATCCATTACACATTGGTTGGCACCAGATCTTGTTAATCCAAAGCTGAGCTTTTGCATGTTAAGACAGTAATTAACAAGCTGTTCTTCTTCATAGCTTGTTAGAACTTTAACACAATCTGGATAAGAGAGAGGACTATTATTTTTGATGGCACATCTAAGGGTAGTTTCTGGTATACTATAATCACGTGCAATACCTTTGGTGCTTAAAGGTTTAGAATTATTTGATAAATCATTAATTGCTTTAAAAGTATTAGTAATAGCATCGTGCCAGATTGTATAATCATTATATTTTGTCATAGTTACTTAAAAACTTGAGACTACAATAAACTAATTCAAATATTATTATTATTCTTTGTTGTGTAATATTATAAATCTTTATTGTTATTATTGTGTGTAGTGTTACAACTTATTTATATATGATAATGTGTTTTAAGATTACAAGCAATACTAAGATTACAAGTGATACTAAGATTACAAGTGATACTAAGATTACAAGCAATACTATAATGAATATTTAAAGATCATTTAAATTGACTAGTCTAAATATTGTTCAAATTACATGATTTTTATTTTGTGTGAATTGTGTTTTTACATTAGTCAAGCCTTATATTTTTATACACATTATGTTTTGTACAAGAGTTGATGAAAATAAAATACACAGAACTTAATTATGATGCGAATCATGACTACAAATCATTTTGAAAAAGTGACCCAGGTCAAAGCTGCAAGAGGCACTTAAATGTATTAAAGTATATTATAAATACCTTGAATTTAGTGCATCTATATTAATATAACGCTATCAAATTTAGTAGATATATTGAGCTTATCAATGCAACAACTTTATTCAATGCAAAAAATTAATTTATTAATATTAAAAAAAGATAACTTTTACTATGTTATCTTTTCTTGTTAAAACTTTAAATAAAGAGAATTTATTAATATGTCAATTTCTCAAGATTTATCAATTAGAATTATATGATTTTAGTACTATTTGATTCGTCTCAATGAGACAAATCGAATAGTATCAAAATCACGTGAATATGATCAGTAGATCCTGAGATATTGTAAATGCGCTGAATTAGGTACTGCATCGAATAAGTATACCTATCTTAGCTATTTGTTCTTCACAGACTCAAAAAGATGCGTCTCTTTATAATAGAAAATTAATAATTCCACAATCACTATAACTAATACAGGCATTAAAACAAGCTATGGTTTATTTATTATCAGGATAATGCTAAAATCAGATGATGCTGAAATTTTAACTTATCTATTATTATATTAAAAAAAACAATAGTTTTACAGCATGGCTGTATAACAGTAATATTTAAACTACTTCATATAAAAAAAATGAATTAACAGAAAACCGAAACTCCATGTTTCCCAATATAAACTTGTGTAATCATAATGTTTAGAATACGCTACATAAAAAAAATAGTGACTTTACAGAAAACCGAAACTCCATGTTTCACAATATAAATATGTATAACAGAATTGTTTAGAGTACTTAATATAAATTATATCAAATCTATCAAACAACATAATCATGTACTTTATAGTATAACCTGTGTAATAATAATGTTTTGAATACTTAGTATACAAGGGTCATATATTTTAGTTATACTATAATAACTATAACAGATCCTGTTTATTCAATCAATTAAGCACCACATGTTTATAAATATATGTCTTTTAATAACTTTTCTCAATTTTTGTTGTATAAAACCATATAATACACATTGCCAAATAGTTTATTACTGATAAAGGTTTTTTTGCTTATTCAAAAAAGTACATTAGCATTTTAAAATCACTCCACTTTATAATGTGAACTATACTTTTTACCAATTAATCGAAACTTTTTTTTATATTAATAACTTATAATAGCACTTTTTAGCTACAAATTTAAAACTTGCAATAATGTTTAAACAAAACCTATCTGCATCTACTATACATGTATCAGGTGTAAACTCTAAACCAATTGAAACGTCTGAGCAATATAAAAAGAGACTTGTTAAAGAAAAACAGAGCCGCTTTAGAAAAAAACAAAAAATTAACAATGAGAACTCAGGTGTAGGAAAGTTTAAAATTTTAGATCAAAATATCTTGCACAAATCGTGTCCCCTTAGTATAATTAAACTCATTAACAATAACGAAAATTTAAGATTTAATAAATCAAAAAGTATAAATTAAATTTGCATGACCAATTCATATACCTTTAATATAGTTACTGATGATTATTTAAGAGTGATTAATTCAAACAGTATAGAACAAATTTGCATCACCAATTCATACCCTTTTAATATAATTAATGATGAAAATTTAAGATTAAATAGGCCAAAAATTATAGAACAAAATTGTGCGACCAATTCATACACCTTCACTATAGTCGAATCTGTTATTACTAATCAAACTTTACAATTGGAAAGATCTAACAATTCAGAACAAAGTCATTTATCTAATTTAGACCTTCTTATTGCAGTAAAACTATAAAACAAAAATATTGAAACACAATTTAACATAAATCATCTATCTGTGTCTGAGCTTTTGAATTTTTCTGAAGCTATTAATACAAACATTATTTCTGTTATGTTTACAAATGAACAAAAACCTGAATTTGAGCTATTTTACTTATCCAAATCTGAGCCTCTCTGTACAGCTAAAGTAACTAGTGCTGATGCTTTTTCTGCAGTTAATGAAACTAAATTTTTGTCTAATTCTATACAAAGCAACACTCAAATCCAAAAATGACAGCATCGTAATGTAATTTGCCTTGAACTTGGAAGAATGAATCAGATCTGCACCTATTGTAATGCTAAATTTTGGATTGAAGTAAGAGATTGCAAGAGCAGTAAAACATCATCAATTTTTGCAATGTGTTGTTCTGATGGCAAGGTCCAATTGCCAAACTTAAACAAGCCACCATCTTTTTTGCTAAATCTATACTCTGCAGCAGAATTAGTTGGACAAGAGTTTTGCAAAAACATTAGGACTTACAACAACATTTTGGCATATGCTTCGTTTAGTGCTAATATCGACGAAAAAATTTCAAAGACATGACATATCCAACTTTAAGATTCATAGACAAGTTTATCATCATATCAGTTTATTACTATCAGAAGAAAGTCAAACACCAAAATTTGCCTAGCTATATATCTACGACACTTTGCATAAAACTGAAAATAGGCATAACATTATGCAGAGATTAATGATAATTGTCTTCAGCACCTTCAAGATATGCTAAATGAATGCAATCTATATGTTCAAAATTTCTGTTAAGCAAAAGATCTTATTCAAACGAATGCAACAGCTGAAATCTCAATAGTAATTTATAGTGATTGAACCTGTGACTCCTGTAGATACAGTATATCTACTGCCTCTAATGTTGTTGCGATTATGGTTGGTGATGGCTATAAATTAGAGTTATCTAATGAGATATGTTCTTAGACTGCGTGAAGGAGATATTTGAAAAATATCAGAAATTCATCCATTCTATGATCCGCTTCATTATGTATTACTATTTACTAAAGATGATGATGGTTGGTATATAAATATACCTCTTGTAGAAGCTAAAAAGAGAGAGACAAAGTAACTACAATGCAATTTTATTTGTATAGACTGCAGATTAGAGATGGAGAATGGTTACATTATACAGGGTGTTTATTTCAACAATATATTGTTAACCAATATGCCAAAATAGAACAAACCCGTTTAAATTACCTTTGACAAAACTAGTCGTCTCTTCAAAATGAACAGTGTAAAGGTATTATGGATGCATTGCATACTGGAAATAGTATTAATAATATTGGTCAACACATAATTCTTCCTTCAACATTCGTCGGTGGTTCACATCAAATGCATCAATTATACCAGGATGCAATGGTTATTGTATGTCATTTTGGAAAACCAGATCTTTTTATTACTTTTACATGTAATCTAAAATGGCCAGAAGTTATCTGAGAATTGTTGCCTCATTAACAAGCTGCTGATAGGCCCGATTTAACAGCTCAAGTATTCTACATAAAACTTCAAGTACTTCTAAAGACCTATTCGAAAAGCATTGGCTCAAAAAGGTTATTGCGTATATATATGTAGTAGAGTTTTAGAAACATGGCTTATCTCATGCACATATTCTAATAAAACTGGCTCCAGAAGACAAGTTACACACCACAGATGATTATGATTCTATTGTTTCTGTGGAACTTCCAGATCCTTCTAAATATTCTTTTGCTTATGAAACTGTAAAAATGATTATGATGCATAGACTATATGGTCGATCAAACCCATCTGTGCTGTATATAAGAGATGGTATATGTCAAAAGCACTATTCTAAAGATTTTTAAGAAACTACGCAAGAATGTCAAAATAAATACTCTATATACTATAGATAAAATAACAGCCTTTCAGCTAAAGCTAGAAATGGCTTTCGATTTGATAACAGATAGGTTGTGCCTCATAATATCGATTTGGTCACCAAATATAATGCCTATTTTAACGTTGAGATATGTAGTTTAATTTTAGCTGTACAATATTTGTTCAAATATATCTATAAAGGTCATGATCATGCAATTATTACATTTACTAATTCCAATAACATGAGTGTTCGACAAACAATTGAAAGTGAAATAGTTAATGAAATCAAAATATATTTAAATGTGAGATATGTTTTGGTGTCTGAAAGCATTTAGAGAATTTTTCACTATAAAATGCATGATCGAGCATCTAATTTATAGAGATTGGCAGTACATCTTCTGGATTAGGATTATATATCTTTTCATGATGAAGAAGATATGCTTGATGTTGTAGAACATGCTAATTCATACATAACAACTTTGACTGCTTGGTTTAAAGAAAATGCTGAAATGTTGCAGCATGTGCATATACCTATGTCAACTTTCCATTTCATTATACATGGGATCAGGCACAATACATATAGAAGCATCAAAAATCTAAAACAGAGGCAATTAGCAGACTTTATATAGTACAACCTTTTAAAGGAGAATGATACTATATTAGAGCATTGTTAATATATATCAAAGGTGCAACTGGCTTTGATAATCTAAAAACCATTAATGGTCATACCTGTATAACTTTCAAGGATGCCTGTGTTTAACTAGATTTTATTCAAGATGATACAGAGTAGGATGCATGTCTTTGTGAAGTAAGTAAAATACAAACAGGTCAACAACTACACCATCTTTTTGCAGTAATTCTTATTTTCTGCCAGTCAAATATGCCTAAAATATTATGGAATATGTACAAGTTGGCTTTGTGCGAAGATATGTTGCACCAAATTCATATGTGTTTTTAGTACTAGAACAGTAGTTTAAGTGATGTTGAAAATTATGCTTTCAAATAATTAGAACAAGTTCTGTTATTAAACGGTAAATTGCTAAAAGATTTTCTAAACATATCGCTATCTACTGAATCAATAGAGAATATTGATATTCGAAGTGGTGACTTGGATCAATTAATTCAAGAGGAAACATCATATAATAATATATAATTAGAAGAGCAGTATCAAAATATACTGCTTCTAAATGACGACCAATATGCGATCTTTAATGCTATCATAAAAGCTATTAATTCTGAAGGTAGATGTTTTTTTGTAGATGGACTAGGTGGTATAGGTAAAACCTTTCTTTACAATATTTTACTAGCAAAGTTAGATTAAATGGAGATATTGCAATTGCTATAGCTTCTTCAAAAATTGCTGTGCTTTTATTAAGCAAGGGTTAGACTACATATTCTCAACTTAAAATCTTAATCAAAGTAAATAAATTTTCAACTTGCAATATTTCTTAAAGAAGTAAAGAAGCCTGCTTAATTTGCGTTGCTAAACTTTTTATTTGGGATGAAGCTTTATAATAAATAAATTTACTGCTAAAGCTGTAAATAGAACATTTCGTGATATTATAGGAGTTGATAAACTATTCAGCAAAAAAACATTCATTTTCAGCAGCGATTTTTATTAAGTACTGCCCGTTATACCACATGGTTCTCACACTGATATTGTCTTTGCAAGTTTAGTTAGATCTTCTATATAGTATCATGTAAAGATTATGAAATTGTCAGTTAATATAAGACTTAATTATAATAATTATAACATTAGTGAAAGTTTAAATCAAAGAAATTTTGTGAAATTCCTCTTAAAAATCGAAGATGGCAAATATTCTATTGTTCCGAGCACTGAAGATTTAATAGAACTTCTATTGGACATGATAATTCCTAGAGGAAAGTTACAAAACTTTATTAACTTTGTATATCCAAACTTAGTCAAAAATTATAATGATTCATGTTATATGATTAGTCGAAGTATCTTAACTCTGAAGAATAATGATATTAAAAGAATATCCAATTTGATAATGGACCAGTTTCCTGGCGAGATTCATACATACCCCAGTGCTAATTTAATAGATATTACAGAAGACAATATTACTGAAAAATCTCAATTATATGCATCTGAGTTTCTAAGATCCTTAAAAATTTCTGAGATTCTTTCCGATGAATTGAAGCTAAAAGTAGAAACGCTGATTATGCTATTATGAAACTTGAATCCGTTTGAGGGACTTTGTAATAGAACAAAACTGATTTGTTGTGATCTTTATAGCAAAGTCATCAATGCTGTAATTATGACAGGACCACATGCTGATAGCAGGATTTTTATTCCAAGACTCACTTTGTCACCTTCTGATATCGATTTATCCTTTATTCTGAAAAGATGGCAGTTCCTAGTGCGTATCACATTTGCTATAACTATTAACAAGTTACAAAAGCAAACCTTGAACCAAGTAGGTCTTTATCTACCACAGCTAGTATTTTTACACAATCAGCTATATGTTGCCTTTTCAAGAATAACTTTATATTATTATATTAAAATCATTACAGATAATAATAAAAATGCAGTACAAGGTTCTAAAACAAAAAATATAGTATATAGTGAAATATTTTAAGGCATTAAAAAAAAATTCGATATTACAGTAAAAAGTTTACTTGAAGTTTTTTTTAAATGTTTTACAACATTTCTTAAATGATTGCCCTTATTAAATGTTAATTTTGTTAGTATAACTATTAAACGACAGAATATATTACATATCAATTGCAATATTTAGTAGTTTATAGGCTAGAAATCCTGTTAATTTTGATATAAATATAATATGTGATTATATATAAATTAGATTAAATAGTCAGTATTTTACATGTTTTAGTAGCCTAATGGTAGAGTAGTCAGAATTTTACTTTTAAACCATTAAATTATAGATTTTGTTCTGCATAATCTGTTTAACAAAATTGCAAAAATTGCTTATTGTTTTATTTTATGTAGTAATTGTTATATCACTATATATCACTATATAATAATATGTATTCTGCCTTTTTTGCTTATTCGACTTTGTTTTTGTGCAGAATCAGTAGCTTTTGTATATATTTGTACAGGTAGTAAGCTACATTTTGTAAATTGATAGATACCTTAGTAAAACCAAGAAAGACTAACAATATATATGTATTAATCCATTAATTTGCACTAAATAAACAATTAAAATTTTAAAGTAATAAGATCCTACATTAGGTTGGGGTTGTAACTGAATTAGGCTTATCTTATACTAAAATTTATGAAGAATCTTTTTTGTTTTGCGTAGTAGGTGAATTCATAGAGAATTGTTTGTTAGAAAAAATCTGATTGGGTGCATTTGCGATGATTTTTAATAGTTGTACTAAGGTACAATAGTGACTAATTTAAAAGGTATTAAACATTTTAAAAAAATCTAATATTTGTATAGTTATACATTAAAGTACTAATAAATAAAAAATTTTTATTGTAATGAATTATTAGACAATTATGTACCTTATTATATATTATATTTATATTTACTAAAAGTTTAGATTATATCTGTTTTGTTTCACAACTATTATAACTAATAAAAGATTGAATTTCATTCGCTGTCTACTTGCAAATCTTAGTATATTGCATGTTATTGACTTCATATATCAAAGCCTTTTTTAAAAAAAAATCATTTTACTTATATTGCTCATCAATATACCGAACTTCCTTTTTGCTTTGTATATACATCAGATAATGTTCCCAAAAGTGATAATTTCTCAAAATATATACGCATATTAAAAACATTGTACCAATTTGTATACAACGAAAGAAAAACTATTTTCAACTTTTTTGGTTTTAACAATAAATAATCTGTTGTTACTCTAGGCTAAATAATCGACATGGTTTTCTAATGTGCTAAATTTTTATATATAATGTTAAGTCTGTATATAATATAACAGACCTTGCATATTCACATAACATTTGCATATATAAACTGCATTTATTACTATATAGCCTGTCATTTAATGACGGGTCTAACATCTAGTTTTTATATAAAATTTTAAATTTTTTTTAGGTGTATTTTTTAGCTTTTTTTTATAGTTAAATTAGATTAATGTTTATAATAAAAAGGATATAGGTAGGTTTTTTAGTAGTGTTTATATTATTAAATCAAGACCCAAGTTTTAATATTTATTATTATATAGGTAAATATAATAAAGATTTATTTTATAGATATATCTACTTTATTTATATTATATCAATAAAGCTAGCTATAGTGCTTGATTTCATATATATAATCAGTTTACTTTTGTATGTATATATTGAATAAATTTATTTTATTGTACTAGGAACTGGAAACCGGTATAAGTCCGGAGCCTATAACAGTATTCAATTAACCTCTGAACAATCTGGTTATGTATATCACAGATCAAAATTTTCAGGGGCATTACAAACGGAAAATGCCAAAACTACGTTTTTGATATTATTATTATAGATGCATCAAAATCGTAATTTCAGTCATCAAAGCACATAAACATGTAAGTCCTTCGCTTTGCTCCAGACAATTAATATTGATGTATATTAACTTGCATATAATCAAAAATTTTTAAAAATTTTCTTGGCATTAGCATTACAAATTGTAACATATATGTGACTTTTATTTTTATAATGAATTGAATATACTCATATCTTAAATAAAAACAATAGTGAATATGCAACCTACAATAGAATCATTAAGAGAATTAAATTTTAGACTTGTTCTTTAGATTGATAAACTTAGAAAAAAGTTTACAGAGGTTGAAACTGAAATATAGAATTAAAACAATTTTTGGAAGAATATGCAGTACTTAAGATCTGATTCAAAGAGCTAAAAAAGAAAAATAAAGCAGATACTGCCAACCTTACTGCTGAAAATATTAAGCTTAAAGTTAGAGTCATGAAATTGAAACAAATTCAGATATATAATGATAATAAAAAACATATTGTTAAATTGGACAATGATATCAGAAAAATCAAACAAATAAATACATTCGTTCTACAAAAAAAATCTTTAGCTAATATCAATGCTTCCTGTAAAATAAACTTTGAGTGTAATCCTAAACAGATAGACTTACAATATGATAATACTTTCACATCTGATATGACTAATAATATTTCAAATTCTGATATATATCAAAAAACTACTTCTTATAATAAAGAGATAGAATTTCTGAATTGGGTATATAAAGAAACTGTTAGTAAAGTAATAAGAGAAAGAAATCAGAAAATGAGGCTTCAACAAGAGACAGCTATTCAGAACTTATCAAATAGTAATACAGAAATTATTCTTTCAAAAAATAATCAAGATACAAATTTATTATATGATATAAAAACTATTATCCAAAAGAACAATTAGAATTTAAATTTATTTTGTAATACAAAAACTATTGGCTCAAAAAAGAATTAAGCTGAAATTTCTGAATTAGAGCAAGATAATGAATATGATAAAAATCAAATTGTAGAACAAGTTTTGATAAAAGAATTATATTTATTTATTGAGAAGCAGAGCCTTATAGATTCTGCATCAGATAACACTAACTCTATTTTTATTTTATTTTTTTTCAGTATTAAGGTGACCTCTTGGTAGTCTTCTTTTATTTGATTATTGTTAACTTTTACAGTATGGAGTATCAAACTATACACATATTTGGAGAGTACAACTAGCCACATATGCAACTTTTGGTTGTCTATTTAAGTAAACACCTAGAAGGTTCTATACTAGCTGCTGTACCTATAACCCTACCGAGTTACCTATTTAAACCCTCTGCGCCTATATATATTAATAATCTAATTGAGCAAGGATATGCAGTATCCCCTTATTTTTAGACACCCGACTTAGAACTTTAAAGCAGGCTCTTATTGAACCCTTATCCTCGAGGTAAACCTGCTAGAGCCTTTCGTACCCACAAATCCAGCTGACCTAGACTTTCAGTAACTTACGCCAAGTCTGAGAACAAGTACTTGCGAGCTGAAGCCACTACCGTTACCTACTACCGCCTTTGTAAAGTTCACCTAAACCCCAGCACCCACTATACAGACTATCTCTCTGTACACCTGTCATCCCAAACTTTCAATTCAGATGGCTCAGAAGGGCTGTGATGTGCTTCTGGTCTCCACAATTGGGTTCTTTTCCTCTGGTTACTCTCTGGCGGCCTAGTTGGTGGAGTGCCTTGCCAAATACTTTGGTCCTATTCAGTTTTCCAGTTTCCTGGTTGATAATCCTTTACGTAGTACTGTTAAAGATCTGTACTACCTCTCTATTCAGGTCTTGCTAAGCAGGCTTCCATATGCGCCGAACTTGGATTTACATAACTGCTTCACTTGAGTTTTGTATAACTCGTATATTACACTATTGTTTTACAGTCTCCCAATACAAGCTGGTGTGACCTAGTTACAGATGTCGATCTGCTATTACACTCACAGTTGCTATAACACTGTACTGAGAATTCGAATTTTTGTTACTGGTAGAATTCGAACTCTGTTCTTGCTACTTGGGGGTGTGACAACTTCATCACTTCACTAAGTTGCCACATTCTATAACACTAGCTCTATTGAAATTAGCATACCTTGCAACATATTAGAAAATAAAAGTTTAGCTCAATATCTATCTTATTTATTTAAAACAGCAATTAAATCTCGACAACAAGAAATTTTAAACTGGTACTACTATTCTCTTGAGTTTGAAAACAGAATTTATACTATTACAACTGATAGTAAAATTAAAGATAAAACAGCAAGAACAATGATTTATAAAGAAATAAAACTATTTCTTTCTAATATTACTCAAGATAATTTGCTCAAAAAAATTTTTAAAGCTAAGAAACTTCTTATGTTATTTGGAGAAAATGGAATTGGAATTAATAAAATTTAACTAATCTCATATAGTGCAAATGTAATTTCAAAATTGACTAATATACAGATCCAAAATATTATAAATCAAGTAAATTCAAAAATCATTTCCCAAGAAAATGATCAAAATTTAAAATTACCAGATATTGAAATAAGTAAATTATCTTATACCTTTAGTTCAATTGATGATATAAGAAAAAAGCCAAATCTTTACCAGAAGTCAAGGTAAGTATACTTATAGGTGATGTTAATGTTAATAATGATTCAGATTTCTCTGATAGAAATGATTTAGATGAGTCTCAAAGCCTTGCTTCTTGTGATGAGATTTAAATAAATATTATTTTTTGATGATAATAAGGATTTGATAATGAAATAAATAAAATAAACATAATAGTTTCTGATGATGATGAAGATACTGTATTACTATGATTTAAGAACCAGTAATATAACTTATAAAAATCAATTAACACATATTAATGATGTTATTTGTGTAATTTAATTTTCAGATATACGTCTTATGAAATGAGGGTGCTTTAAATCTAATTAATAATTTTTTCTACTAATCATAAATCTTCAAAAAAGAAATGTAAAAAGGCCAGATTAAACCTTTTAATGCAACAATGATTTTAAATTTATCTCAGACTGTATTGTGACATTGATGTCACACCTTAACCAATAAAATAAAGTTTTCTGACTGCACTTTATTTCACATAATGTTGTGACATAAATATATAATTTATCATTGTTTATTTTGCACTTCAGTCAGAATAATTCAATAAAAATGTATTTTATATCATAATTTAAAGCATTAACAATAAGATTTTCTTGCAATAAATGTGCTTTATAAAATAATATAATATTTGTAAAAGCTATTTGGTTAACTAAAACTTGTAAAATAAAATGTGTAAAAAATTGACTAATAATGCAATTTGTATGAATTTGATTACAAAGCCAAATTCTTATTGATACTAATTGATCAAGAATAGGTAAAAATCTCTGTGATTGGTTGAAATTAGATATATAGATTAAATATATTTTATTGAATAAAAAAAAGATTAAGACCTTTATATTGGATTAACTTTGAAGAGCATATAAAGAATATATAAAAGAAAATATTTATTAAAAAAAATTAAATTGTTATAATATTTAATAAAGTTTTTTAAATATTTATTTTTTATAATAAATTATATAGGACCAAGTATATTTTGTTGAATTAAAAAAGATTAAGAGCTTTATATCAGATTAACTTTAAAGGATAAAACAGCTAAATAAACATATTTAGTTAAAAAAACAAGTTATTTATTATGTAAGTATTTTATAAAATTTTTAGCCAATTACAAAGAACTTTACCTATACTGATTGATCAGTTATTCATGTAAATAAAAAGGATTACACAAAAAAACATATCAGCTATAAAATGTTACAGATTATAACAAACAAAATTATTTTAATATCTTCGTTTAATGTACAGCTTTATTTATAATTTTCATAAGGTATTTACAACAATAATATTTTTTCTTAAAGCACATTTATATTAACAATATACGAAAAATATTCTCTAGCAAGGATTATCTCTTTGCAACTTTATTAGGTGATGATTTTGTTTAGGTAATCTCATCAAACTTTCTTTTCAAAATTTGAATAGAATCATTATCATACTCTACCGTCTCATTATTTTTCACTTCGGTTCTAATAACCATCTATAAAATAATTAATTAAAATGGATTAATTAAAAGATAATTATAAAATTATAAAATGGAACTTACTATAAATTCTAATAATCTTATTATACCCGCTTTCATATCCGAAATCAAATTCAGTTTAAAAGCAATGTTTAAGCTCCCAAATTCGTCATAGATATATACACTATCTTTTCACATCATTAGTATTTTAATTTCAAAAAGATAACCTAATACTCCAAAAACAATTCGATTATTATAATTTATGTCACCCTTCCCCATAGCTTGTAAGATTCGAAAATTTAAACAGTCCTGCATTTCTCGATACTGCTTGAAAGAATTTGTTGCCAATTTTGTTAAATCCTTTTTGGTAGGTGGTCCGGCTTGTTCACCAACAAAAATTTCCTCACCTGTTTTCTCTATCCATGCTAATAAATCTGCAGATTTTCCATCAACCACCTTATCTATGATGTGTTTATGCCCATAATTTTTTCTATATTTTGAGACATGCACCGGAACCTTCATACTAAATAAAAATAAATATAATATAATATAATCAAGAATAATATAGTAATAAATCAGTTAGCCTTTAAACTTACGCCCTCCAATCAAAACCTACAAGTTCTTGTAATGCTCTAGAAAAAAAACAATGTCCAAATTCGGCCAAATAATGGTGCTTACTGGTGTTTGGTGCACTAATATCAGGCACTGGTTTCACAAATGATTCAATCCTGCAAATATATGATGTTAGAAACAATGTGCATTTAATAACAATATAAAACCTTAACACTTACAATGGAATCATTACTCGATATAAGTATTCCTTAATTTTTATCACATCTTCACCATTATTCTTGTTTAAAATATTTAAATTCTTTGTAATGTTAATCCAATCAGATGTACTTTTTATTGTTCCGTCATTTGTTGTTTCCTATAAAATAATAAAATTAATAATTGCTATAAATATCAAAAACGAATATAGGATATAATAACCTTAAAATACTCTTCAATAATATTACGCCAAACTTCTGGTATTTCAACTTTCCTCTTTGGTGTTTTCAATCATAATTTTATATAATCATCAACTGACAAAAATTTGAAAACCCGCTTTCTCTTCGAATATCCATTACGTCATCATTTGTGCATCTATAAATTAAGACGATATTAGGTATAAATTACAAAATACATCCTAAGCAATTAAATTACTTATGAAAACGGATCTTTTTTTGCGATTCCTTATATTTTATAAAATGTGGAATAAAATTGCCAAAATACTGTTCAATGTAAATTATTGAATATTCATTATTGTATGCATTAAAAATTATCAATCTTCAAATAAATACCTTAGATTCATCAAGTTTTGCCAAACTTTGGGCTGAAATTCTTAAAATATTTTTGTCAATTGATATTTCATTAGTATATGTATTGCTTGTAACTTGATGAGGGGGGTTTTATAACTATCTGCACAACAAATAATAATTTCAACAAACTTGTTTGGATAAATACAAGGCAAAAAGGAATATTACTATTAAGCGTAATGCTTTTGCTAACCAATCCATCATAATCAAAAATCTCTGATGACGGTTCTTTATAAACGGCATTTAGTCCTTTCTCATCAATCGTTGTAAATTCTTTAGTCTGTAGATGATTTTCCTGGTTTTTTGATAATAATTGATTTCCAATAATTTCATTTTCGTTTTTATACATGAGGTAAGTATTTATACGATGTTTGACAGTAATTCGTTCCTATCACATACTCGTTAATAATAAAGAAATTGATAAAAGCTACACTCATTTCTTTTAACATACCTCATGTCTCATTTTGATAATACCATTCCAATCAGGTGCGTCAATGTTAACCTTTATATTTAAAAATTTAAAGACAATTAGTATGATATTTCTCTATCAACTAAGTAACTAATAATTAATCAAAGAGGTTATAAGTTGCAATTATCGCAATGATGGGGTTGAGGGCGACACCTAACTACCCACAGTTCAGAGTGAAACCTGACTGGATCTTCCCACATCATCACTCTGGTGAGGACGACACTTAACAACCTGCAGTACAGGGCAAAACCTGACTGGGATGCCATAGACGCAGAAAATTCAAACATTTCATACTTTCCTTCGTATTAAATATTTCTGCAGTTGTCATAAATCGCTTTTTCCATGTACCATCTAAACTATTAAAATCAGTCCCTTTCGGAGGAAAACGAACTACTAAATCAGTATTTTGTCTGACAAATCCTGAAAGAGATAGAACAGTGCCACATTCCAAAGCCTGCTCAATGTACTTTTTAATTTCTAAAAAAGGATCAGTAAAAACAATATAAAAAGCTGACGTTTTTTCTATTTTAAAGATATCTATCCTCATAGGCAAAAGGAAGGTTGTTCATCACACATTTGAGTTTTTACAAATCGTGAATCACGTTATATATTTTTTAATCAGTTACACAAAAATCAATTTTTCACGCTCGAAAAAATTCGGTTATGTTAAGGTTAGTTTTTATATTTGGGTTAGGTATTAGGAGGTTATATAGTAAAATTGCCCCATTCCTATCACAGTAACTGCATTAAGGTAACACCGCATAAAATTTAATGCAGGCCATTGATTATTAAAGCCAGTCAAGGTTTTATTGCTCATTCAACTGATAAACCTGAATATCAAGTGATCGCTATCATTATTATCATAAAAATATAAAAATATTAAACTCAGTTTATACTCCGACAGCCTCTGAAGAAGACCCACCTAGTATCGCCACCAAAATCATGTACGTAATACGGAGCTTAAATTTATTTAATAATATGAAATATGATGACAATAACGATAATGATAATATTTGATTAGTAATGCGTACAATAATAAAAATAAT